AACCCTTGTACACTGCTGGTGGGAATGCAGTGGAAATACTGTGGAAAACAGTATGGAGATTCTTCAGAAGACTAGGAAAAGACTTACCATATGACCCAGGAATCCTACTCCTGGGCATTATCCAGAAGGAAGCCTACTTCAAAAAGACCCCTGCACCCCAATGTTCATAGCAGCACTATTTACAATAGCCAAGACATGGAAACAGCCTAAATATCCATCAACAGACAACTGGATAAAGAAGTGGTATATTTATACAATGGAATACTACTCAGCCATAAAAATGACAACATAACACCATTTGCAGCAACGTGGATGTCCCTGGAGAATGTCATTCTAAGTGAAGTAAGCCAGAAAGAGAAAAATACCACATGAGATCGCTCATATATGGAATCTAAAAAAAAAAGCATAAATACAAAACAGAAACAGACTCATAGACATAGAATACAAACTTGTTGTTGCCAGGGGCGGGGGAAGGGATAGACTGGGGTTTCAAAGTTGTAGAATAGATAAACAAGATTATACTGTATAGCACAGGGAAATATATACAAGATCTTATGGTAGCTCACAGAGAAAAAATGATTATGACTATATATATATGTTCATGTATAACTGAAAAATTGTGCTCTACACTGGAATTTGACACAACATTGTAAAATGACTATAACTCAGTAAAAAAATTTTAAAAAGAAAATTTACTGTCTAAAGTCACTGAATGAGGAGTACAAATGATATTTATATATTCCAAGTAACACTGATGCCATTGGTCTCCTAAACTAATTCCACTCATTGAAAATAATCCCAACAATAAAGTTTTTCTTGGGTAGGCCGCTTAAGTTTAGCAAATATCTCTAACCTTAGTGAGAGATTTCGCAGGAGACAAGAAATTGAGAGGGGCATACATTACACTTAGATGACATCATCAAAACCTTGCTCTTCTCCTTGCTCCTCTCCTTGCTCCTCCTCTCCCATCCCTCCTCCACACCCTTCTCTTTACCCTTCATTCTCTTTATAGAAATGTTGTCTCTAATACCTTAGTCTCATGGAGAAACTTGGGAAACTCAAATTGATTTTTTGGAACATTATCATCTTAAACAAATGTGAGAACACCAAGTTTTCCCACCTAAAAATGATAATCCTGTTAATAAAAAACATACACTACAGGTGGCAGCCACAAAAACAAAACAAAACTAAAAGAAATCCCAAACACTACAGAAAAGGGAGAGATAGAACACTTAACTATACAGTGAACTAAAAGAAATGTTTCCATTATAGGAAAAATGCAGGATAATGCAATTACTCTTTGAATAATATTTATTGATAGTTTCAGTATATAAATGTTTGAAAATAGAGCTGAGACATCTATGTGAGATTTACAGTAGCTCTCAAGGTGAGAAGATACAGATTGCATAAATTTAACCAATTACTGCTTTGGGTGACATTAATAATATATTTCTAAATATGAACAACCTATCAACCACTGATGACAGAAGCCAAGAAACAGAGTTTCTTCAGAGCTGTGTAAAGCTGGGAGCACTTCATCTATAGATTTCTAATTTGTTGAATTCTTGATATATTAAATTTTTTGGAGGCAAAGAATACATGTTCGTTTATCCTTATTCATTTTTGAACTAATACTTATTTAGGATCTACAGCATGCCAGACATTTTGTATTAATTATTTTTAATTACTTAATGTAATTACAACATTATGAGTCAAGTATTATTATTCCTGTTTTACAGGTAAGGAGGTTAAAACTGAGAGAGGTGAATTTGTCCCAAATCTCACAGTTTAAGAATTCAGAGAGACAGGAGTCAAACCTAAGTCTATCTAACTTCAAAATCTTTTTTCTTCCCACTATATATTGCTCACCTGAGCTTATGTTAATGGTATCTAAAATCCTATTTTAAATGATGTAAGGAGGCAAAGGACAGAACCAAATGGGACAATGATATTATTTTACTAATAATTTCCTTAATTCTTATGTGGAAAGATATATAGTATGATTCTTGGGGTTGGTTAACTCTAAAAATATTTGCTTTATTTTCTTTATTTTAAGCTCAAATTTCTTTCAGATGTATGATTCATAGAACTCTGCTGCTATAAACCTTACATATATATATAGTAATACAAGATACTGTTTATTGAGTAAAACAATAAGTAGTGAAAGCAGTTCTTTCACCCCTTTACTGTTTGCCCACTTCAGTCCCCCTCTAATCTTCAAAGAATCTAGTAATAGAAATGAGATTACTAGGCAATTTAAACTAACTTCTGACTTATACTCTCCTGAATGCACAACACACCTTGCCTAACCTGGTGATTCTTTTCCTAGATTAAAAGAAGTAAAACTGAAGAATTAAGTAGTTAAAGAATGACTAGTTCTCAACCCCCAATAGCTCCCTTAGCAATCCTGCAGGCAGATCACACAGGCAAGATAACATCTGAAGAGAGAGTCAGCCAGTCTGCATGCAATGGAAAATGATTCAGAACCTAACCTCCTGCCACGATTCACTGAGATTCTTCCCCCTCCTCTTTCCCTTTTAAAAATTGTCATGGCTGAGCAGAATCTTCAGAGTTGGTCTCTGGGCATGAGTCCACCTTCTGCCCAGATTGCCGGTTTCCCATTCTATTGATACTTGCCTCTCAATTATTGGCTTTTGAGTGACAACTTGCCTAATATGAATTCTGTAACAGTAATATTAGTAAAACATTATGTTTATCAGCATTAATTCAATTAGTCAATAGTTACTGAAAGCTTATGTTGTGCTAGTAGCTATGCTAGGCACTGGCAACACATGTGGACATTCAGTGAACTCAGAGGTGGGAGCATCTATGTCAAGGAGAAATGGAAGGATGGTTTAACACTCAAACAAAAACTATTAACGTAGTTTACAACATCAGTAGGTTTAAGGAGTGAAAAACATGATCAGTGCCTAGACCAGAACAGAGAATTAATAAATAGATGCCCAAAGGCTTCTGTCAAAGTCCTATACCCATACATAATAAAAGCTCTTAGAAAACTAGGAATAGAAGTCAAATTCCTTAACCTAATAAACAGTGCCTACAGGAATCTACAACAAACATTAAACTTAATGGTGAAACAGTGTGATCATTCCTTTTTTATAGCTAGGAAAAATTAGAAGTATGTCTGCTGTCACCACTTCTATTCAGCATTATATTGGAGGTCTCAGGCAGTGCAGTAAGAAGAAAAAGAAATAAAAGTTACAAGTTTGAAAAGGAAGATAAGACTGTTCTTAGTCACAAATTATTTAATTATCTACATAGGAAACTGATAAAACTGATTTACACAGAAAAATGATACATCTGAAAGAGGTTAATATCCAAGTTATACAAAGAACTCATGCAACTCGACATCAAAAATCCAAATAACCCAACTTAAAAATGATCAGAGGACCTGAATAGAATTTTTTTCCAAAGGAGACATACAGTTGGCAACAGGCATGTGAAAAGATGCTCAACATCACTAATCTTTAAAGAAATGCAAATCAAAACAACAATGAGACATTACCTCACACCTGTCAGAATGATTATTCTAAAAAAGACCAGGAATAACAATTGTTGGTGAGGATGTGGAGGGAAAGGGACTTTTTTACACTGTTGGTAAGGTAAATTGGTGCAGCCATTACAGAAAACTAAAAATAGAACTACCATATGATTCAGCAATTCCACTCCTGGGTATATATCTAGATAAATGAAAACATTAATTGAAAAAGATACATGCACCCCAATGTTCATAGCAGCACTATTTACAATAGTCAAGACATGGAGGCAACTCAAGTGCTCATCAATAGACAATTGGATTAAGAAAATGTGGTATATATACACATAGAATATTAGTCAGCCATAAAAAGAATAAAATTCTGTCATTTGTAGCAACATGGATGGACCTAAAGAATATTAGGCTTAGTGAAGAAATCAGACAGAGAAAGACAAATACTTTATGACATCACTTATATGTGGAATATAAAAATAATGCAAATGAATATACATACATATGCAAAACAGAAACAGACTCACAAATATAGAGAACAAACTTGTGGTTACCAAAGGGGAGAGGGAAGTGGGAGGGACCAATTAGGGGTATGGGATTAACAGAGACAACCTATTGTATAAAAAATAGATAAGCAACAAGGAAACATTGTATAGCACAGGGAATAAAGAGCCATTATCTTGTAATACCCTGTAATGGAGTATAATCTTCAAAAATACTGAATCACTATGCCTTCACCTGAAACTAACATAACATTGTAAATCAAATATGCTTCAAGGAGGAAAAAACATAAATAACAATTGTTGACAAGGATGTGGAGAAAAGGGAACCTCACACACTGTTGGTGGGACTGTAAATTGGTGCAGCCAATTCAAAGTATGAAGGTTGCTCAAAAATTTAAATATAGAACTATCACGCAATCCAGCAATTCCACTCCTGGGTATTTATCTGAAGAAAATGAAAACATTAATTCAAAAAGACATGTGTACCTTTATGTTCACTGCAGTATTATCTACAATAGCCAAGATATGGAAGCAGCCTAAGTATCCATGGGTAGGTGAATGGATAAAGAAAATGTGATATATATATATATATATAAAATGTATAAATAAATGTAATATATAAATAAATATAAATGTGTGTGTATATATATATATACACACACACAATGAAATATTATTGAACTATAAAAAATGAAATTTTGCCATTTGCAACATGGAAGGATCTAGAGGGTATTATGCTAAGTGAAATAATTTAGACAGAGAAAGATAAATACTGTATGGTTTCACTTATACATGGAATCTAAAAACAAAACAAATGAACAAACAAAGCAAAAACAGTCATATAAAACAGATACAGGGAACAAACAGGTGTTTACCAGAGGAGGGGTGAGGGAAGGAAAGAAATAGCTGAGGGAGATTAGGAGGTACAAACCTTCAGTTACAAAATAAATGAATCATGAGTATGAAATTTAAAGTATGGAGAATATAGTCAATAATAATGCAATATCTTTGTATGGTGACAGATGGTAACTAGAGTTATCATGGTGATCATTTTGGAATGTATAGAAATATTGAATCACTATGCTGTGCACCAGGAACTAACATAGTGTTGTAGGTCAATTATACTTCAAAAACAAACTTATAGAAAAAGAGATGAGATTTGTGGTTATCAGAGGTAGGGGAATGGAAGAGAGGGAATTGGATACAGGTAGTGAAAAGGTATAAAATTTCAGTTATAAGATAAGTAAGTACTAGGGATGTAATGCACAACATCATAAATATAATTAACACTGCTGTATATTATAGATGAAAGTTGTTAAGAGAGAAAATCCTAAAAGTTTTCATCACAAGGAAAAATATTTATTTCTTTTTCTTTTCTTTTGTATCTGTATGGGAGGATGGATGTTCACTAAACTTACTGTGGTAATCATTTCATAATGTATATAAGTCAAATCATGATGCTGTATATAAACATACAGAAAACAACAAAAAACAAATAAAAACACTGTAAGATACCTTGGAAAAAATAAAAGATGGGCAAGACCTTTGAATTAGTCAGGGTAATGCTAGGCTATGCTGCAGTGACATATAATCCCTGAAATCTCCATGTTGTAACATAACACAGATTGATTTCTTATAATTTATTTAGTTCTTATAACTTAACTATAGTTTATCTGAGTCAAGTGGTCCTCTGGCACAGCTTTCCTTTAAGAGATAAGTCAGGAATCTGACTTGTGGCAATGACATCTGGACTATGTGGCTTATTAGTTAGTTATGGAAAAGGGGGAAAGGAATGGAGGAGGCAAGCTAGTTCTTAATTGCCCAATCACCCTAACCTATCTTCAAGGGAGGGTGGGATATGTAGAGGTGAACATGAATATTTGGTGATCTTTATCAGTCTCTGTCAAAAAGTATAAGATTATTGAAAAGCATAAGGAAAATCTAAATAAATACAGTGATATACCATGTTCATGGATGGGAAGGTGGGATAGGATTAGATGCAATTCCAATCAAAATCACAACAAAGATTTGTGTGTGTCTGGAACTTTAGGGACTTGATTTCAAAATGTTTATGAAAAACCAAAGGGCCTAGAATAGTCAAAATAATTCTGAAGGAAAAAATGAGAGGGAGAGGCTAATTCTAATAGGTATCAAAACATGTTACAAAAGTTGCAGAAATATAAATAAGGTAGTATCACTATAGGAATATACTAAAATATCAATGAAATTGAATTGTATCCAGAATAGGAATTTAATATTTGACAATGATAGTATTTAAAATTAGTATGAAAGGGATGAACTAGTCAATAAATGGTGTCAGGCCCATTGGCTACTCATATGTAAATAGTTAACAGTAGATTTATATCTCACATAATTAACTCAACTAAATTTTAGGTAGATTAAAGAGCTAAAGGTTAAACAATACCATAACAGTATTTCAAAAACATATAGGATGTATTTTCATAATACTAAACTGGGGAAGACTTTCATAAACAGGATGCAAAGCCCAGAAGCCATAAAGGAAAATATAGAGTGATTTGACTACATCAAAGTTTAAATGTTCTATGTAACAAATTGCCCTATAAACAATGTTAAAATCTAGAATTGGGGGAGAATACTTACAACATATATAACAGAAGATTAGTATGCATAATATAAGAAGAACTCTAAACAAATCTTAATAGTGACAAGGGCATGGATTGGTAAATCACAGAAGAGGTCATTCAAAATCACCAATAAACACATGCTCAGATGCATAAGTAATCAGGAATGCAAAGTATAACAAAATGATGCCATGTTTTGGCCCATCAGATTGGCAGACAGTAGAAGAATAATAACATCCAGCATTAGTGAGAGTGCAAATTGATAAGCTCTTTCTGGAGTACCATTTGGCAGTCTCTCAAAATTCTATATGTCTTCTTTAATCCAGAAATTCAATCTCTTAAGAATCTACTCACCAGAAATATACACGTGAACAGAGATATGTGTATGAGATGTTCATTGAATCATTGCTTGCAATAGCAATAAAACTGGAAACACCTAAATGTTCATTAATAGTGAACAATTAAATGGATTTCATACCATGAAACACTATGCAGCAATTAAAAAGTGGAGATTCAATATGCATCAATTCTTACATAGTGGTATTTTATGATGTATAGGCTATATTGTTTTGAAAAAAGCCAGTTACAGAACTATGATATGAGCCAATCTATCTTTAAAAAGTTTTTCACAGACTGTATACCCTATACTCAGTGTGTCTGTGGATGCCTGTGTGTGCATAGAAAAATATCTGAAAGAACATAGGACACAACAGTTTCACATCTGGTAAGGAGTGATATAAGAAGTGCTGGTGAAGGAATGTGCCAAAAATGTAGAAAATTAAAAAAGATAAAGGAGAAAAGATTATTCATATAATCACACCATTCAAAGATAACTGTCATCATTTTGTGTTCACCCTTCTAGGGTTTGCACATATATACACATATGTACATAGACTTCCTTCTATCTCTTTTTTACACAAAATGAGATCATGCATTACTTGCTGTTTTTGTAGCTTGCTTTTTTGGTTTAACCATATATTGTTAATTTTCCCCCATGATATTAATTACCTATTTATTTCAAAACCACTTATAGTGTTTACTACATTTAAGGCACTTCCCACATCTCTTGCTTATATATACATCTGCATTCTTTTAATGTTCTTTTAAGACATTACTTTTTATTGCTGAAGAAGCATTAACTTTTGTGTATGTAACATCAACATTGCTCATTCAGACAGGTATTTGATATTTGAAGAAACAGTAGGAAAAGAGTGCCCATCACTGGGATTGAACTGAGATCTATTTTTTTTAAAGAATTTTCTATGCAGAGGTTGAGGTTTTTATAGAAAATACCTGCAAAATATTCTTCATCTGGACTGCAGCACAAACAGAAACACATCAATGACTCTTTACAAAAACTTTTAAAAAATATATAGCACGTTCTTGGTATGCATCCAATTTCTTAACACAAATAGGATCGTTAGTTGAATATTTATTGTCTGTTCAAATATGGTACAAGTGGTGCTTTCTATTCTAGTTCCTTTTGATCAGACCTCCTATGCAGGCAGCCAGTGCATCTGTTTGGATCTTTCTTGTCAAGTTCTAAGTCCCAATTGCCACAGAGATTTACAGTATTTCCATGAAGTTTCCATTTCAGCCTGTGATGCACCAATCACAATTAGAATAAGGGCAAAAAGCCTGTAAATAAAGCCAGTGGTGGAATTCATAACAAATGCTTTTCCAGCAACGAAAGCTTGAATTTCACATGCCTCCTGAATTTCCTGTGTCTCATGACCAAATTTTAGGTATTCAGAAACAGTTCACTTGATAAAGTGTAACTTGGAGAGTATACTGTGCTGTTTCTCTTGGGATTGAAATTGAATATTTAGATTTAATTGTTGCTTTTAATGGAATGATGGAGTCACTTTTCAACTTGAAGCTTAAAATATCTAATATCTGGTAATAAGAAGGACTGTGGCCTGATTAATTGGGTACAACTAAAAAATATACATTTAAGTTTACTAAAGATTCTCTAGCACATCTGCTGTTGCAGTCATGATGAAGAGAATAGTGACCAATTAGGAAACTGTGGTCCTAATCCTGGCTCTGTCCTTTGTTATTCAGCAGCAATGTTGCCCCTTATTAAGTGATTTTCTATGTGCCAGGCACTTGGTTGAGTGCTTCATGTGGATTTTCTCATATTTATTCTTACAAAAATCCTGTGGAGCAGGTACTATCATCATCCCCATTGAACAAAGAAGAAAACGGATAACTAGAGAGGCAGGGATAATTTGCCAAGAGTTACATCTAATAAATGGAGGAGCCAGGATTCAAACCCAGGTCTCCTCTGTACTCTAATGGATCCTTACTAACTATAATGAAAAAAACAAAAGAAACATTATAAAAAATCCAGGTCTCTTGGATTCCAAACCCAATTCATAAATATTAAATTGTCTTGCATTTCTAGCTTTAAGGCTCTTGGACAAGCCTCTTCCTCTCTCTTGGCCTCAGTTACAAAATGAGGAGACTGATCAATCCACAGGGCTTCCATTAAATACATAAATAAGCAAACCTAATTCCCTACCTCCCAAACAAACAAACAAACAAACAAACAAATAAATAACCCCCAATTTTTTTAAATGAGGAGATTGGACTAGAAGTAAATGGTTTCTTAAGATTTCCTCCAGCTCATTCATTTCAGCCATTGTTTCTTCTTTCTACTATAATATAATCAAGCTTCATCTCAAGTCTTTGGCCTTGTATATTGGAGATGTTCAGAAATATTTTTTTCTGAATAAATGTTTTGCAGCCATTTCCTGTAGAGTTTTCTTTCCATATACATATTTAATAAAAGAGAGTAATTTCTCTTAGGGGTATAATACTGAAATGAAGGTGAAATAGGGGTGTGGGTGGACTGAAGGGCTGGACATCTTAACTCTGCTATATCCTGCCAAGGTGTTCCTGCTGTCATACCCACATACTACTGATTACTCTGAGATTGAAGAAGACAAAGGAAGGGATGTGGTGGGAAGCGGCCCCAAAATCACATCAGGAGAGGCTATTTAGGATCCTATAACCTGAGTCATATAGCTTTGGGAAGCCACACCCAGCTCTACTCTCTCACCTCAATTCTAAGTATATAATGAACACATGATATTTCACATTTCCAGGGGATATTATTCCCTTTTCCATTTGTGAGGTAGGCTTGACATAGGGAGACTTCCGAGGTTTTACTAAAGAAGATCAACATTTGCTTGTTTATAAGGCCCATACTACATTGTAAATGCCATGGTTTTACAACTTACTCTTAGACATCTAAGATAAAGGGGGTGAGGGAAATTATCCACCATATACTGTCTTGGTCAAGGAGATTGTGGCCATGTAGTATTAATGAAAAATATGAATCAAATGTAAAGAGGTATTCTTATTTACACTCACATTTTTTTTATTAAAGTATAGTCAGTTACAATGTTGTGTCAATTTCTGGTGTACAGCATGATGTTTCAGTCACACATATACATACACATAGGTTACTACAAGATATTGAATATAGTTTGCTGTGATATACAGTAGAAACTTCTTGTTTATTTTATATATAATAGTATCTGTAAATCTCAATCTCCCAATTTATCCCTTCCCACCCCCTTTCCCCTGGTTACTATAAGTTTGATTTCTACGTCTGTGAGTCTGTTTTCTGTTTTCTGTAAATAAGCTCATTTGTGTCTTTTTTTTTTAGATTACACACAAAAGTGATATCATTTGGTATTTTTCTTTCTTAAAGGATTATTTCTGTTTTTTTTTGTTTTTTTTTTAACTTTTTTTATTGAGTTATAGTCATTTCAAAATGTTGTGTCAAATTCCAGGGTAGAGCACAATTTTTCAGTTATACATGAACATATATATATATTCATTGTCACATTATTTTCATTGTGAGCTACCATAAGATCTTGTATATATTTCCCTGTGCTGTACAGTATAATCTTGTTTATCTATTCTACATTTTGAAATCTTAGTGTGTCACTTCCCACCTCCCACCCCCTTGGCAACCACAAGTTTGTATTCTATGTCTATGAGTCTGTTTCTGTTTTGTACTTATGATTTTTTTTTTAGATTCCACATATGAGTGATCAAATATGGTATTTTTCTTTCTCTTCTGGCTTACTACACTTAGAATGACATTCACCAGGAACATCCATGTTGCTGCAAATGCCATTATGTTGTCAGTTTTTATGGCTGAGTAGTATTCCATTGTATAAATATACCACCTCTTCTTTATCCAGTCATCAGTTGATGGACATTTAGGCTGTTTCCATGTCTTGGCTATTGTAAATAGTGCTGCTATGAACATTGGGGTGCAGGTGTCTTTTTGAAGTAGGCTTCCTTCTGGATATATGCCCAGGAGTAGGATTCCTGGGTCATATGGTAAGTCTATTCCTAGTCTTCTGAAGAATCTCCATACTGTTTTCCACAGTGGCTGCACCAAACTGCATTCCCACCAGCAGTGTACGAGGGTTCCCTTTTCTCCACAGCCTCTCCAGCATTTGTCATTTGTGGACTTTTGAATGATGGCCATTCTGACTGGTGTGAGGTGATACCCCATTGTAGTTTTGATTTGCATTTCTCTGATAATTAGTGATATTGAGCATTTTTTTATGTGCCTATTGATCATTTGTATGTCTTCCTTGGAGAATTGCTTGTTTAGGTATTTTGCCCATTTTTTGGATTGGGTTGTTTGTTTTTTTCTTTCTTACTAAGTCATATGAGCTGCTTATGTATTCTGGAGATCAAGCCTTTGTTGGTTTCACTTGCAAAAATTTTCTCCCATTCCGTAGGTCATCATTTTGTTTTAGTTATGGTTTCCTTTGCTGTGCAGAAGCTTGTAAGTTTCATTATGTCCCATTTGTTTAACTTGCTTTTATTTCTATTGCTTGGGTAGACTGTCCTAGGAGAACATTTTTGAGATGTATGTCAGATACTGTTTTGCCTATATTTTCTTCTAGGAGGTTTACTGTTTCTCATCTTATGCTTAAGCCTTTGATCCATTTTGAGTTGATTTTTGTGTATGGTGTAAGGCAGTGTTCTAGCTTCATTGATTTACATGCTGCTGTCCAGTTTTCCCAACACCATTTGCTGAAGAGACTGTCTTTATTCCATTGTATATTCTTGCCTCCTTTGTCGAAGATTAGTTGACCAAAAGTTTGTGGGTTCATTTCTGAGCTCTTTAGTCTGTTCCATTGGTCTATATGTCTGTTTTGGTACCAATACCATGATATCTTGATGACTGTAGCTCTATGGTATTGTCTGAAGTCTGGGAGAGTTATTCCTCCAGCCTCTTTCTTTGTCTTCAGTAATGCTTTGGCAATTCTAGGTCTTTGATGGTTCCATATAAATTTTATTATTTGTTCTAGTTCTGTGAAATATGTCCTGGGTAATTTGATAGGGATTACATTAAACCTGTAGATTGCTTTGGGCAGTGTCACCATTTTAACAATATTGATTCTACCAATCCCGGAGCATGGGATATCTTTCCATTTTTAAAGTCTTCATTAATGTCCTTCATCAATGGTTTACACAGTTTTCTGTGTATAAGTCTTTCACCTCCTTGGTTCAATTTATTCCTAGGTATTTCATTACTTTGAGTGCTATTTTAAAGGGGATTTTTTCTTTACTTTCTTTTTCTGTTGATTCATCATTAGTGTAAAGAAATGCAACTGATTTTTGAACATTAATCTTGTAACCTGCTACCTTGCTGAATGCTTCGATCAGCTCTAGTAGTTTTTCTGTGGACATTTTAGGGTTTTCTATATATAGTGACATATCATCAGCATATAGTGACACTTTTACCTCTTCTTTTCCAATTTGGATCCCTTTTATTTCTTTCTCTTGCCTGATTGCTGTGGCTAGGACTTCCAAGACTATGTTGAATAAGAGTGGTTATAGGGGGCAGCCTTGTCTTGTCCCAGATTTTAGTGGGAAGCTTTTGAGTTTTTCACCGTTGAGTACTATGCTGGCTGTAGGTTTGTCATATATAACGTTTATTATTTTGAGATATGTTCCCTCTATACTCACTTTGGTGAGAGGTTTTATCATAAATGGGTGTTGAGTTTTATCAAAAGCTTTTTCTGCATCTATTGAGATTATCATGTGGTTTTTGTCCTTTCTCTTGTTGATGTGATGTATTACATTGATTGATTTGCGTGTGTTGAACCACCATTGTGTCCCTGGGATGAACCCCACTTGGTCATGATGTATAATCTTTTTTATGTACTGTTGGATTCTATTTGCTAATATTTTGGTGAGGATTTTGGCATCTATGTTCGTCAGTGATATTGGCCTATAATTCTCTTTTTTAGTAGAGTCTTTGCCTAGTTTTGGTATCAGGGTGATGGTGGCTTCATAGAATGAGTTTGGGAGTATTCTCTCCTTTTTAATCTTCTGGAAGAGTTTGAGAAGGACTGGCATGAGCTCTTCTTTGTATGTTTGGTAGAATTCCCCAGTGAAGCTGCCAGGTTCTGGACTTTTATCTGTAGGTAGGTTTTTTATTGCTAATTCAATTTCATTTCTAGTGATCAGTTTATTCAAGTTGTCACTTTCTTCTTGGTTCAGTCTTGGTGGACAGTATGTTTCCAGAAAATTGTCCATCTCCTCTAGGTTATCCATTTTGGTTGCATATAGTTTTTTCATAATATTCTCATGATATTCTGTATTTCTATGTTATTTGTTGTAATTTCTCCATTCTCCTTTCTTATTTTGCTTATTTGTGCTCTCTTTTTTCTTCTTTTTGAGTTTGGCCAGAGGTTAGTCGATTTTATTTACTTTTTCAAAAAACCAGCTTTTGGTTTGATTAATTTTTTCTATTGTTTTTTTAAGTCTCTAATTTATTTATTTCCTCCCTCATCTTTATAATTTCTTTCCTTCTGTTGA